CCCACCCCTCCAATCCCACTCCTCCAATCCCACCCCTCCAATCCCAACCCTCCAATCCCAACCCTCCAATCTCACCCCACCAATCCCACCTCAATTCCACCCCTCCCATCCCACCCCTCCAATCTCATCCCTCCAATTAAGTATGTATATACTTACTATGTGGTGTTATTCCATCCCTGACATTCCATGGAGGATCTAATGATTTGCCTGAAAGGAAATCAATTATTCAATAACTAGTTTCAATAGCTTGGTCATACACTTAATTGAAATATGGCAACCAACTTGAATAACTATTGTTCTGGACTGACTAGCCTCATGTTCACATGGAAACAGAAAAGCATTTTCATATTATATGAGAGGCTAGTCAGTCACTAGTCAGTGTAGAACAATATAGTTATTCAAATTGGTTGCCATATTTTGATTCAGCGTATACCTCGTTGCTGGCTCAATTTTACTAGTCACATTGACTGGCAATTAAATGACTTACCACAAAAACATCTGTAAACATTGGGGACTGACTGGCTAATGTTTTGACATGCAGGACATCTCCAGCCACCATCCTCCCCTAAACAAATAATAATAATAATAATAATAATAATAATAATAACAATAATAATGGGGTTTTTATATGGCGCATTTCACATGGTCTCCATGTGCTTTACAATTATGACCAATGGAAGACTTTTCGGGCTGCATAGTAAGGCGCTAGTAGCAGCCGTGCAGCTTACAATCATGAGTGATTTGTTAGTACATTAGAGTTATGCCTCCAAATTGGAATAGGCTATTGAACCGGGAGACAATCCCCTAATTAGGATATTGTGCTAGATTATGGTATGCACAATACCTTCTATAACTGCCATAGGAGACCTTGCCCATTTCCTGGCACATTTCAAGTGGAAGACGTGGTAACAATTATCACAGCTCCATACTGCAGCACTACAGTATATCTTATCACAACATACCATACACTCATAACTTTCATTTTGTAACTGTTCAGTTAACATTCCAGCTTGTTCTGAATGGCTTGCATCAATAACATTAGAATTTCCAATAATCTGTCGATTTCTGTACCCTTTGAAGGGATATCTTTGTCTTTTATTATTCCTAGGTTTTGATTTTTCATCCTCGTCTGTTACAGTGACCGAATGGTTTTCAAATTGCTCTTGGTTTTGGGGTTGATACCCTTGATAAAAATTCTGATTGACATTTCCATAATCCTGATATTGGGAACAATAAACTGCATTATTAAACTCCATTCCATAAGGTTGAAAATAAGCATCATAAGGTACAGGTAAATGTACACCATAGACTCCACCATATGGAAAACCTTGTTGATAGTAATAATCCTGAGGATAATAATGAGTTCCAGAAAACTGATTATCATATGAATAATCATGACGATTTTCCTGTTTTTCTCTTCTTCCAACATATTTTCCATTCACAACATTAACATTTGTTCCTATTTCTATCACGTTTTCGTCTGCACTGACAATGGAATCTTTCTTGTCAAGTTCTTGATGTTTATCCCTCTCCTCCCTTGATGACAATTTTCCACTCCTCTGCCTACCCCTCCAAGAATCAGAATTCTTGGTCTCTGATCTAAAATTTGGATTTTTGTTCCTTGGCATTCTTGATCTTTGCTTTGATTTTTCATTTTCACTTGACTTGTAGCTTAGTACTTGAACACCCTGGCTAGGTTGTTCTTGCTCTTCACTCTTAATACTCTCTTTGCCCACAAATTTCTTATCTTTTCGTTTTATAAATTTTTGACTTTTGTTCCTTCCTTCATCCCTTGGCTTGTCCTTAACATCTACAGCAACATTTCTTTCACCTGAAGAACTATCTTCTTTTTTTGACATTCTTTTGTTTAACCAACTGATTACATCCTTGTTTCCTTCAGTTTCATTGTCGTCTAAAGTCTTCTGACTGTCAATAGAATCACCTTTAGAGGCACATTGTTGCTCCCTTTTTGAGTCTTTAGTCTTTCCTTGGAATTCTTTTCTCTGTCTTGAGGTATAAGGCCTTCTTTGATTGCTTTTGGTTTTTATGAGATTCTTCTCTTTCTCAGAAGTTTCATCGCTTTTCTCAGAATTTCTAGCACCATTCCTTTCTGTCTCGTCTTGTTCAGAAGGTGGTTCTCCAGCAGGACCCTCTGCTTCCATTCCTTTATCTCTATAACGAATTAACAGACATCTCATTGACTTTTATTCATTTCAGATAAACATATTAATTTACGTTATATATATGTACGTATGACACTTTTCTATATATTGATACGAATTTCAAAAAAGGTTCGTAAGTCATATTATCGTAATAAGCAGATAATATAGATAAGTTGTAGTGCTTGGGAACGAGGTTATAAGCACTAACCCAGTATTTTTGAAGGCGTTATCAGCTAGAAAACAAGAAATATCCAGTCAGACAAATCAATGAATGTACCTTATTAGTTAGTGCTTCACCTTGTACTGAGTGTTGGTGCTTGCTGGTGCAATAATGATCAAATCGTGCCCAGACTCCTCTGCTTCCGCATTCTGAAGTCCCGTCATATAATTCGCCAACCTATTATTTCTACAAATATTAAAATATTTTTACTAAGATGTCAAAGATCTTGGCTAGTACTTTGGTCTCAAAACGCAAGACTTCAATAAAGGGCTATTTTTTAATTTTATTTCCGTTTTTCCCGTTTATCTAAGTGGGCTCCCTGTGGTAAGTTCCTCTTGTCGAAGCGAGCCATTTTAATGGCTTTTAAAAAAGCAAAAAAAGACATATTGCAAACCCTTTAATGTCATAATGCTATGTAACAACATAAAAAAGATTTAGACTCTTTTTCTTTATACTAGTATGTTTTCTTATTTTTCTAATGATTCGATAGGACAAAAAGTTTAGGCTCCCTGTGGTTTTCTCTTTGAAAACGGCTTGGGCTTCCTGTGGTATTCACAACATACAAACTACGTTTTGATAGAAGCACGTTTCTCACTAATCTCTCTTTTTTAACACATTTTAACACTTTAATATTTATCATTTCTTAATCATTATTCTAAGAACACGTTATAAAGATATTTAGAACGCCTGGGGATTTTTTGTTCTTTTTGAGCCAAGAATTGTTTTAGAGACAAACAAAATGGAGGACTTGGAACAACTGGAACAGCTTTCTCTCGTGTCAAAAATATGTACTGAGCTGGATAACCATCTTGGTATTAACGATAAAGTATTAGGTGAGTGATTTATTTGCCATTGAATATCTGGTGCCGTGGATCGTAAGTTTTTTTTGGTTGAAAAATCTTGAATCATAGAAACTTAAACTACCAAGTTGCACTGAATAGTGTGTTGAACTCAAGTAAGCTCGTCCAACGTTGACTGTCTACAGTACTTTATTTAACTTTATCAGCATGCCTCATGGGTTTGAATATAGGGATGAAGATGAAGGTACATGTAACAGTTATCAAGAATGCAGCATCATAATTCACTGAGTATTTTTTTATCTAAACTATAATTTCCTTTGTCATTTTGCCTGTAGCTGAATTCATCATCATGCTTGGAGAGAAGAGCTCTGATATTGATGAATTCAAGAAGAATTTGGCTGAAAATGGAGCAGAGTTCCCTGTAAGTGATATTATTCTTTTCTTGTGAATGGTTGCCAACCAAGGTAACCTTGACGATCATTCATTATGATGCTTTCTCATCATGGTTGCTTAAATTCATTTTGCATGAGACACACATTGTTGACAATTAGGCAATATCAGCCAATTGGAGACAAGAATATAGATTGGTTTTTTGTTTTTCCTTAATTTGTATATTCTAGCTATAACTGATATATTTTGGTAAACTGATTCCCATAGGATTCATTTGCTGCTAATCTTCTAAGACTGATAGAAAAGATGAAACCAAAAGCACCACAATCAAAACCAGGTAATAGATAAATAAACTTTGTTTATTGATGGTTTTCAACCATTCCCAAGAGAATTAAATAACAAAAGACACGGCGGCCATGTTGGAGGATATAACAAAAGAATTCATTGACAATTCTTTTGTTAAAGTCCTCCAACATGGCCGACATGAAAACCATCAATAGAGGATGATTCTTGACAGTAATTTGACTGACTTACTGACAAACTGACTCACTCACCCACCCACTCACTCACTCACTCACTCACTGACTAATAATTGATTCAATTGGTTGATTATTTGTTTTATTGAATATATGTATAATGATTGATTTTTCAGGCCCATCAAGTGAGAATGATGACTCTAATCTTAACCCAGCCCAGAAAGAAAGAAAAAAGTTATTTCCTGGTTTGTCTATTCCTGATAAGGATATTAAACCAGAGGTAAATGCACACATTATGAACACATGAATATCTCCCTTATTAAGGCCTTGATAGAAAAATTCAAATCAAGTGGGCTTATTTCCCTCATACACTGTAGATCTCCCTCCTTTAATAGAAATGCTGATTTTAATCGATCTTTTTTCAGACGACAGAAGAAGATGAGAAGGTTGCAAGTGCTGCTCTAGATGAGGTAAGGAGATTGATCGATCACTGCTGATGTCTGCCTAGATACAGCTCTAAAACTTTGCTTATGTAGATTCTTATTCTTAGCTGATGGAAATGTCATTTTAGCAGCTTTATGGCTTAAATGTAGTGAAAGGTTAGATGTTGCATCTGATTTGATTATTCTGTGATTCGCTATTGTAGCTTGAAGCACTTATACCAAAGGCAAAAGCATCAAGTTTAAAATCAAGGTACTTACAGTGTTTATTATAAAAAATATGCTACAAGAAAAAAAGTAATACCCCACTCCATGATTCCCTGGAATAGACCAGTTTCGAGTTCCAAATTACCGCTGTGTTCCTTGATTACAGACTCATTTGCACAGGGTTAGTCTCGTATCAGTGTTTAAATATTCACAAATACCAACAGAAAAGTAAAGAATGCACAACTTCAACAATACAAACATTTTGAAACTCGATGGACCTTGACTGGAACACGTGAATATTCTGCACAAACTCGAGGCTAACCCTGTGCAAATGAGTCTGTAATCAAGAAACACAGCGGTAATTTGGAATTCGAAAGGGGTCTATTATCAAGAAAGATTATAAAGACTGTATAATGTTCCTATTTAGGTAGTTACAACTTCCAAGGGATAAGGGAGGGGTAGGAGTTTTCTACTCATGTGATGTGCTGTAATCAGATGGCGCCCACAAAGTATTGCTCCCCCATGGAGTGTGTGTATGTCTGGGGGAGTGGAGGGGGGGAATACATAAGACCTTCATATCTCCCACAAAGGAAAGGTACGGAATTTCCAAGAAAAGGGAAGAGTGATCATTATTTTAATGGATTTAATCTTCTTATAAGATTCTTTCTTCATGGAATATTGTACGGGTATTGGGGAAGATAATTCATCTTGGTCAGGGGATAAACAAGATGTTCTTAAGATCCAATAAAAAGAATATTGTTTTTGTCACAGTGAACCAGACAGAGACTCTAAAAGCTACAGGAACAGAAGTAGGAGTAGGAGTAGAGAAAGAGAATCAAGACAAGACAGAAAGTAAGTTCAAATACTTAGACCATTCTGATGGGAGCATTCCCAACGTAAAGGAGGTTATTTATTCATTGATCAATCACATATTCTTACCTTGGATTCCAGTTGAATTTCACTTAGATGATTCTTACTTATACACCACATTGTTGCAAAAAACCTTAGGCCGATCCACAATTATATTTAACTAGAACTTTCCCTGCTAGCAGAGTCTCTCTTCTCTTTCTCTCCCTTCTTTCAGGCAGGGAGGAAGGAGACTCTGCTGATGTAGAGCGTTTCCTTTGATACACCACCGTCCATGATCATGAACGAACAAAACCAGTTTTAAAACCCATTACATGTAGTGCACATGAGCAAATGTAACACACCATGGCACCAAACATTGTTTGACGAGAGCGGCTGTCAAAATCATGACAGCGTTGCTAGGTTACGCCATGCATGTGCGACAGAAATTACGTCCTACATTGGCAGAGCCTATTTTTCTCTCTCAACCAAAACAAAAGGAAAATAGGCTCTGCTAGCAGGGAAACTAGAACTTGACCCATTATCTGCATGTTTTAGGGATAGACGTAGGTCAAGGTCAAGGTCAAGAAGTCCTGGAAGAGATAGGAGAAGGGATAGAGGAAGAGATGAGAGGTAAGATGCTCTTTATCAATAATTACGAGTTAGAATAGCTGGACTTCCATCAGTTTACATGGTACCAAGAATGCACCTTGTTTGTATTGTGTTGATTTCTAGTCTCTCATGCAGACATTTTTAGGGTCACCACACATTGCTATGACCCTGAGAAGTCTGCATAGGGAACTTCTTTCTACCAAGCTGCCTCTCTATCAGTCAGTTACTTCCTATCATGACACATTGATTTGACAATTTATACCTCAAATATTTGAGATATAATGTGCACTGGTCAGAGGACATACACACCCTTGTGCAAAATGGTTGAAAAACATTTTATAAAAGTAATAATATTATATTGGCTTACAGTACCTCATCTTCCCAAACTTGCTTCTTTCTTGCTCTGCAGCTTTGCATCCTATATCACAGTACATACAGAGACATACGCACAAGTTTTATATATTTGCTTAAATACTCATGTTTTATCATGGTAGGAGAAGAAGATCTAGAAGCAGCGAAAGAAGCAGAGACAGGGATGACAGATATGGCAGACGATCAGACAGAGATCGATCAAGGGACAAAGATAAGAACAGAAACAGGGACAGAGGAAGGGATGGTAAAAGCAGTCGACATGGTACATCACACACAGACCAGGCCCCTCCAGCAACTCCTGTCGTCAGTCAGGTAAATCTGCTCCAATTTTCTATTGCGCTGAGAGAGAGCTAGAGAGCTGCCTGCTATTATGAACCTGTCATCTCAGAATTACCAAACGATAGGAGAATCACAACTTACTACAGCCAATGCAGAATATTTTTTTTCTCAACTAACCATCAAAATAAATCTGTATGTACATCAGTGGCTGAAAATCTTAATAAGTTTTAAGAATAAAGTAGTGTTGGGGGGCTTTTAATCTTCGTGGTGATAATTTCGTTTATTCTCAAAATTTAGATATAAAATGTCAAACTCACAGAATCTGCAAAGATACTTCTAGGCAAAGGACCATGCAACCCCCTGTTAGAAAAATCCTGGGGCAATATCCTTTTACAAATTATCCTGTACCTGGATTGAGACATATTGCATACATGTATTAAGTGCATTTGTTCAGTACACCCCGCCCCCCCTTTCCCTGACCCCTTGGAACACTATAGGATCATTTGCATACTGACCTGTAGTATCACATTTAACTTTTATTAACTTTTCTCTACAGATATATGGTGGAAAGGTGACAAGTCTTATGG